CTTCCAGCATGTGAGTATATATAGCGGCCACAATTGCATGTTAAATTTTCACCAATTCAAATGATCTAGCTTCCAATACAAGAAGAGATATACTTGCTCCTGTGTGTTGTTGAGATGCTAAGAAACCACCCATGGAGAGGGTTGTTATCATTTCTATGCTCAAACATCGAGTCGCTAGAGGTAATAGGTTTGGTTTTCAAATAAAATTTATATACCTACACCATAAATCTGTTGTCGGGAGTATGTCGACGCACATGTATCTTGTGTTTATTGAATTCTCACCATAACTGTTGAACTGCAATTCTTTGCCCAAGTAGGTAATATCTCTCCACCATTAACATATGGAAAGGTACCATACTTTATCAACACAGGCACGCATACATGTAGGCATATACATTGAGTCTCAAAACAACGAATTCCCACTAATAAATCTGCTTCCCTACGTATCATGTAGTTGTGGAAAATAAGCTCATGTGTGACATAAAGCTGCCAAAGTGCCAATGTATGATCTAAGGCATGAGAAATTTCTGTTTTGAGTTAGGCATTTGATTTTTGACCCATTGAAAATTGTATCACGGAAATGTAGTCAAGTTTGTTAATGGAGTAAATAATAATATTGAAAAGTGATGTTTTTTTCCTGGATTCATTTGTCTATTCTATCTTCAATTGAAGGGGAAATTCTCTATATAGCATTACAATTTTGAATTTTGGCATCGCAAGGCTACGCCATGGAATTAATAGACCTGTTAATTTAATTTAACATGACGAGTTTTTGTATTTCACTCCATATAATGGTATCAATCTTTAATACTAAGGCGCAAAAATTGACGGGCGCCGCAACGCGCACCATCAATGATCTAGTTATACCTTTAAAGATGGTACCACTCCGTTCTATGCGTGATTTATCGATGTGCATTTTGTCCAGAGTGCATGCATATATATATATATATATATATATATATATATATATATATATATATATATATATATATATATATATATATATATATATCGCGCTATTCGTCACCCTGAGCGAGGAATAGTTATTTTTCACCCCTCTCTATTTTGACATCGATGCACCGTATTTTTACGTTTCGTAAATTTTGTCTTATTTCATACATAAAAAGAGAACGTAAGAAAGTATGTACTCGCCGTAAAAAATATTTTATGTTACATAAAATTACGAGAGTAAAAGCATAGTGTAAAACATACATAAAATGTGATTTTGATGGTCTTATAATCTATATTTTTGTTTTTTATATCAAATTTTACATATTGAATCAATATGCATGTAACTATTTATATTCTAAACGTAATTTATTTAGGAAGCGATCGTAAGATTACCTCGGGTGAAGAATAACTTATTCTGCACCCTGGAAGATGAATAGTAACACTATATATATATATCAGATTTAAGCTGCCGCCTCCATCCATAAGTACCTTCCGAAGCTGGCAGCTTCCCGCAATTGGGTTGAGTACCAGTGCGGCGGGGCACCTATTCGGAGTCAACCTCGGCTAATCTTTATGATCTAAGGTGATCGGCGTGTCTATCCACGTGCCCCGTGTTGGCACTTGTCGGATATAATTGATTTCCCACATGGCTCGTTTGCGCTGGTTGTTGGACGCGAAGGTCTCATAAATCATCATGACCTCGTCTTCGTTCGAGGACTATTCTGCGTAGCTGGAGGTGCCTGCCAAAAGGGCGGGCCCTCCTTTAGCCACTTGCCTCACCACCCAACAGTCGTGAAGGCTGTGAGTTGGGTAGAAATTAAGCAAAATATCATGTATTGGGCATGGTTTATCTAGGAGGCCATCAAGGGTAGTCCCGGGGTAGCCAAAGGTTTTCTTCTTCTTCCGAGGTCCTCTCGGCTAGTTCGTTTTGCTTAATGGACTCGCGCCGAGGTGCGGTTCTGTCGCATTTTGAATTGTGTTCACAGATCGAATATGTGCTTTCCCCAGGTAGCCAAGCATCTTCGATGGTGCACAATCTGGACACCCAATCAGATAATTCTGGGAGTGTCTGGACGTAGCGGTGAGCGAGGGCGTTTGAAACGCCTTTATCCTTGCATCCGCACTGGAAGGTTGTTATGATATCCGAGTCCTCGTAGTTTGGTATCTTGTTTTTTGGTAGATAAGAACCTGGCCCATAACTGTCTGATTGTCTCGTCGGGGAATTGTTGTATGTAAGCCAGATCCTAGACATCTGGAGGGCCTGAGTGATCAGGGCGATACTCGATGTGGGAGGTGGGCGGGTGAGTTTCGATCTCTAGGGATCGCGGGCCCGAAGCCCTAGCATCATCATCCCGTGTCAAGTTTGTGCCCGCCGGCTTGGCCGAGCTGATTCAGATATCAGTTTCTTCGGTTGCCTCTTGCCAACCGTTGTCTAAGTCACTTTCTAAAAAGTACCTCAGCCCTTCATCCTTGAAGGAGGGTTCGACAGGGGCAGAGAGGGGGCATGGGTCACCTCAAGCTCATGAAGGAGGAAATGTGTTTTTGTGACGGGAGCTCCGGTCATGGGAGTCATGCCCGTGAGTTTGGAGTCGTTAAACGACGACCCCATCGATCCTTCTGTCGATCTCACACTGTAACTCTCAATAAAGCACTAGTGTCAGTGTGAAAACTGGCAGACCTCGGGGTAGGGGGTCCTGAGTCGTGGATCTTGGACAAATGGTAACAGGAACAAGGAGACGATGCTTACCAAGGTTCGCGCCCTCTTAATGGAGGTAAAACCCTATGTCTTGCTCTTGTTTATATTGATGGAGATGTATCAAGTACATAGTTCATCTACCTCGGGATCGTTAGATGTGTTCCAACTCTATGGCTAGGTGAATGAGATTGTGTTGATGTCCCCTCTACAAGCTAAACCCTATGGCTTTATATACACACCAGGTAGGGTACCTAGGGTTACATGGTCGGTATCTCAGCTCGAAGGCGGCAGGGGAAGTCTTGGAGTACACGACAAGTCTTCGGTAGATGCAGTCTCGATCTTGCCTCCAGCGTGCAGCTTTCGGAGTCCATCTTGAGAAGAATGAGGGCCCATCAGCCCAGACCGAGGAACATGGGCTGACTAGGTTGGCACCCCCTGATCTAGGACACCGTCAGGCGTCGTCGTGAGATGATGTGCGGATGAGGTGGTGTCGGGTGCTTGGGTGAAAACCCTATCATGGTCGGGACCATGACCAGCGCTGATGGCCACCGCGTACCTTCTTGGAGGCATCGTTGTATTGTTGCCGCACCCATCCCGCACGGATCACTACAACTCCCGGGGAAACCCTTGATCTTGTTTGATCGGACGATGGCAATGCCTTGGTGTTGTATCCCCCCTTGGGGGCTTCTTCTTTGGAGCTGGGTATTGGCGAGTGGGATTAGCGGATGACAGTGGTTTTGGAGTTGAGGTTTCCGTGGCAACGATGATGGGGAGAGCAATGTTGGAGCCGTGACTATGGTTGAGGTAGTCGCCTCTTCTCCGACGTGTCTACAGGATTGCCTCAACTGGTTTGTTGCTGCGAAGTCGAAGCTGCGGTGGGGGCCTCGGTGGCGTACGATGACGGGCAACCGGTGGTTCGTTCGATGATCTTCTGTGGTGCCGGCCGTGCCTAGTTCTTATTCATGATTCTCCTTCAAAGTCGGAGCCGCGCTGCCTAGTCGCAGGTGACTGAGTTTACAACGAAGTTGGAGTCGTTTGCTTAGGGTTTAGGGATGACAATGACACTTCTAGTGGAGGAGTGATGACGATGACATCCGCGTGCTGTCTCGATGAGGCCCTCATTGGCGCGGTAGGTATCTTATGTGTGTCGCTCAGCGGTTGTGATGGTTTTCGCCCGGTTCTCCATAATTAACCAAGCAATCTGGTTTTTGCTCGTTTTTTCCATTTAACTAAGCAATTCTTTTCTTCTTAATGAATGCAGGAATCCTGCCATTTTGGAAAGAAAAAAATTGTAAAAAAATCTAGAAGAAAGAAAAATCATTATGTTCCGGTTCTAGAAATTCCATCAAACCCAATATACATAAGTTGTAGAGAAGAGGCCAGAGATAAAGAGGGAAAGAAAAGTCCACGAGAAAGAAAATGTTAAAGAATTCCATATCTCGAATGCCCATCAATCCCATTCTCTCTGGCGACAAGCAACCACGAAGGCGGAGTGACACACACAAGGTTCAAAGAAACCGATGAAGCGAAAGGAAGATAAATATAAAATATGATAATTTCAATAGCATCGACGCCACCAATATTCGTCGACCCCGACCTCGTACCGACATCACCAATTAGTCAACCAAGAGAAAACCCGATATAACCAATCACCCGTTGGAGGGCGACAAATATAAGAAAAAGCATCGGAGGCCGAAAAACACCATTTGGCGCGAAAAATCGGTCGGAAACAACAAATTAGATGGGTACCCGCCAATGCGTTGTTTTCGTTTGTTTCTGTTGAAAACTATAATAAACACCTAATTCCTTATACATAACTCATGTGACGTTTGCACCAAAATGACTTCAATTGCACGTTCAACATACCATGACATCCAATCTACATGATCTAGTTCCATTTCTATGTTTGGGTTTGAATCATGGAGAGAATCAAAGGAAGCCCTAAAGAAGGCAAGGAAGCGGGCACATGGTAGGGCACAGGAGGAGGCGATCCAGGGAGCGAGTGGTGGTGCTTGGTGCGGCAATCCCTTCTCCGCCCTACCTATGCTTTGCGTCGCCATCTCCTTCCTTGCCTTCCTTCGTGTTCCCTTCCCTTCCCCAACACAAGCCCGGCGCAGCGCATACATACATACACATCGACTCAACTTCCCTCTTCCTCCACCGAAAGTCCAACCTTTTCGCTCCCAATCCACCACCCATCGCCCACCACCAATCCCCCCCTCTCCCTCGTTCGCTTGATTCGATCAGAGAGAGCCCCGCCACCGCCACCGCCACCGCCACCGCCACCAGACCTCGACCAGTCAATCCCCTCTAGGGTTTCGCCTATCGCGCCGCCCAATCGGATCCACCTCCAATGTGAGTTCGCCTGATCCCTCCTCCCCCGCGATTCCCCCGTAATCTTCCGCGCAGATTTGGTTCAATCCGATCGGAAATTTAGGCCGCCCCTGCGTTTATTAATTTGATTTGATGTGTAATCCGATGCAATCCAGCTCGGAATTTCGGACCCTAGACGGCTTTGCGGATAGATTGGAGGGCCGATTTGTTAGAATCCCGCGGATTGACCTTACACACGCGTTCGTTTTATGTGAATATTCGAGATCTCAGGCTTCCTGTAGCCATGGGATTGTTGCTATATGGATTTTGTTTTTGGTCCTCTTGGAAATTTGACGTTTCTGTGGGTTCTCCCCATGCTGGAACCGCAGGATGACGATGAGCGATGACGGAGACCGCACCTGCCCGCTCTGCGCCGAGGAGATGGACATCACTGACCAGCAACTCAAGCCCTGCAAATGTGGCTACGAGGTACTATCCTCATCAGTGACTCCCACCCTGCCATGCCTGCGCAACAACCAGGACGCTCTTTCATTGTTTTGTTTGTGTGTGTGTGTGTGCGACTCTGCAGATTTGTGTCTGGTGCTGGCACCACATCATTGACATGGCTGAGAAAGAGGACACAGAGGGGCGCTGCCCTGCCTGCCGCACACGCTATGACAAGGACAGGATTGTTAAGATGGCTGCCACGTGTGACAGGTAATTCCCCGTCTCAAACTTTCACTTTATATGCATTCTCTGCCTCCGAGGGCTGCCATGCTTGCGCCATCAACCGGAGATTCCTTTTCTGGATTAGTCAGCACGCACAAACTCTTTCCTCATGTATCACAATGATAGCCTTGCAACTTACGTTCATTCAATGGATACAGAACGGTAGCAGATAAAAATACAGACAAGAAGCAGAAGACCCAAAAGGTTAAGTCAAAGACACTGACTGTGGAAGCTAAGAAGCATCTGGCCAGTGTCAGAGTTATCCAGAGAAACCTGGTCTACATAATTGGGCTACCTGCAAATTTATGCAATGAGAGTGTGAGCACACTATTCTTTCCTTACATCTGGATTCTTTTTTCTAGTTAAGATTTGGATTCTGTTAGGACGAGTGACACTGTAAATTGTAGCTCTGATGCCAACATTACTATTATCCTTGTTTTAGGTACTTGAGCGCAGGGAATACTTTGGTCAGTATGGAAAGGTTTTGAAGGTTTCAGTTTCTCGTCCAACTGGGGCTCCTTCCCAGCAGACATCAACGAACAACGGTATCAGCGTGTATGTCTACAAACGACACTAATGATCTTTTCAATATGCATACATATTGTCCGATGCTACAATCACATTGATAATATCGAGTGACTACTATCCCACCTTTGTGTACTATATGGTGCCTGTAGCCTTTAATACCTGCCTCAGCTATATAATTTTTCATATGCGACTCAGAAAGTAAAGTGAGAGTTTGGTTGCATATTAGGTGGTTTTCCATCAAAAGTAAGTTAAAATAATCGCCGATTCTAACATGACATGTCCTTGATACAACCCTGTCAATTTCAGGCTAATCTAATCTAAATTTTGACCGAGGGCTGCTAGAATTTTATGGCATGTGTAAAGAACATTTGATAGCTTTATAGGCCACATGAAAGATGTAGCTGTCTAGTGTCGTAAAATCTAGGAATCTTTTATGATAAATATAGAAGTGCCTGTTTCAGTCTTGGCATGAATTTACTGACCAAATTATTTTGGACGAGACATTTCCCATGTTTACTGATGCCAGTTCAGTTATTGCTTCTGAAACTATCAGTTTCCTTAGGGTAGATTGTCGTTCTTCGGTGAGTACAAAGTTTCACATTTGTTTTTGGGTACTCCATGTTTCTCTCAGGAGTCATATAGCACTGGCTTGATGTACCTAGTCATATGGTCGTAATGATTGTAAAAATATGGAAAACATGGACTTTGAAATAACTTGAGGCTGTTGGATGAAGTACGCCTTTATTCAGTTTATATATCTAATAACTCTTAGAAACAAAAGAAGGCTTAAAAGAAACATCAGTTTCCCTGAAAATAAGGAGACCCACGAGTGAAAACTCTGGTGGACTCTGTCCATCATGTCTACTCAGCTATTTAGTAGCTCACTCTTAATGGATAACCAATACAGATGTATGGTTCCTATTCTCTCCATAATTGTGGACACCATTAGATGTGTTCAAATGCTGGCTCACTAGTTATTACTGTGATATGTGTTCAGATATATTACTTATGCCAAAGAAGAAGAGGCCATCCGGTGTATTCAGGCTGTACACAATTTTGTCTTGGAAGGGAAAGTGCTAAGGTTAGCCTTATACCTTGTCTCTTCTCTAGCAGTTTTGCACAATATTGTTATTCTAATGGTTTTCTATTGTTGCAGAGCATGCTTTGGCACCACGAAATATTGCCATGCATGGCTGCGGAACATGGTACAATTGATGCTTCATTCCGACAGCTTTTACCAGTACTCTACCTATTGCTATCTTTCTCAGTGCTTCGTCATTTTTTTCTCAGACATGTGGGAATCCAGATTGTCTCTATTTGCATGATGTAGGCAGTCAGGAGGATAGTTTCACTAAAGATGAGATAATCTCAGCTTATACCAGGTAACACTTGACTTCCTTTTAACTTGCAATGTGGAACCACAGTTCTTTGTTCTGCTTGCTCCGTCTGTTTTGCTCTAAGCATGCAAATCCTGGCTTATATGATGCTTATATATTTTATTTTATTTGCAATTTTGCATTCTTGCTATATATATATATATATATATATATATATATATATATATTTCTCTTTATTTTAGAAGAAGCTCCTGGTCTAATGTTTGGCTTCTCCCTACACTAATGGCCTAGTAGGAAGTTCCGCCTTTCGATGGATTTGGATTTGGATATCTAATGTTGTACTACTACCTACTTTTGGTAGTTTGATTTTAGTTCTTGTCTCAGTTAGACATAATTAACTAAATTGGTAGATTCAGTTGTCATTTCAACTCATTCTCTGATATTTCTATCAGGAGTAGGGTTCCTCAAATGGCGTCTAGTGTTTCCCAAAGACGTGCAGGAACTGTATTGCCTCCTCCAGCAGAGGATTTCTCTTACAGTGCGGTGGTTTCAGCCAAACATACAATCAAGAATGGAACAACTGTATGTTTTAATATTGGACCATTAGAACATATTTTTTCTTGATTTCGTTCTGCTTTCCTACCTAGATATTTTGTTGATAATTCTGTTTTTGTTGGTTTACACTATGTTGCTACACTAATGGCCTTCTTTTTCTTTGCAGAATACCACAGGCCAGTCAAGACTGTCACCTCCAAACAGTAGTTCAGGGAGGTCCACGCTTCCATCAGCTACTTCATGGTATGCTTCCTCCCTAGACTGTTCTGCCACATTTAAAATGCATTGTATTGCTAAATTTGGGTGTGTACAGGGGGCATCGTGATTTGAACACACGGACAACCGCGACTGAGGTGGCGTCCTCACAATCTCTTACTAAATCAAAAGCAGAGGCGCATAGTAATTCACTTTCAAGTTCTTCTATGATTTCGAATTCAAGACTACCTTCTTCATGGAATGATGATACAAGCACAGTACTGAAAATGACTGAAGGACGGCAAGTATCAGAACGAGATAGTTTGTCTAAAACCTTGAAGCCATATAGACCTGGTATTGCAAAGGAAACCCAAGCTGTGACATCATTGGAGTCTTCGTTGGACATAGACTTTTCTACAATACCTTCAGCCTGGAATGATGATGAAGTTGTAGCATCAGATGAGACTTCAAAAGGAAGTGAGGAAAAGCAAGTTGTAAATGGAAAGTTTTTTCCTTCAGCATCCTCAAAACCAACGGAACCGGGCCAGATTGGGTCTAAGTCATCAACATCACCAAAGAATGGCGAAGCCGTAAACAGTTCCAAGCAAAATCTTGCAGATTGTGTGCCACATTCAGCAATATCTGGTTCTGTTTTAAAGAGGGATGAGGGTGAGAATAGACCTGGGGACACAGAAGTCGAGAAGTTGTCTGTTGGGGTAACTTCAGTAACTTTAGATAGCAAAGATACAGTTCATAGTATGGAAGAAAACCAACAGCTGGGTGCAGTTCCCAACACTTCCGCCGTGGTGCCTTTAAGTCAAAGTTTGAAGAAGGAACAATCTCATTTGAAGCTTGCTGGGCTTTCATCATCAGAAAATAAGGACCCTGTACTTTCTTGTCAATCTAGTTCTGATAAGCATCTTGACTGGAGCTCAGAGCTGCAAAGTTGTCGTGTGGCTTCTCCTTTGAATGACATATGGAATTCTTCTGTGGCCACTGATAAACCCCATGCCACTGCTAACACATCACATATTTCTTTGTGGAATGATAAAGAAATTAACCCTACTTCGACAAGTGATGGTAGAACTTCTGGCACCATGCTGCAAACCAGGTTATCTTCAACTGAAAATGCTTCTACCATGTTGAATGGACGTCGTGAGGGGCTAGGACCTATGTATACACCTGATATGGTTTCTGAACATTCTGGTATGCGAAACCACCAGCATAGAGCACTGGATGCAGCAAGAAATGATAACATAGGCAGTTTTGGCAACGCTGTAAGTGGAAATAAAGACGAGGGCAGCATAATTTCTGATATATTGTCTTTGGAGTTTGATCCATGGGATGAGTCGTATTCAACTGCGAACAATTTTGTTAAGATGCTTAATGAATCTGAAAAGAACGATGCACTTTTCAACGCACCTTCATGGAAATCAAAAGGCACCAGTAATGAGTCTAGATTTTCGTTTGCTAGACAGGATAACCAACGGAACTTCCAAGATTCATCTTTCAGAAATTGTGGCACTGATCAGAATTTTAGCTTGCTATCCCAGAATTCTCATGGCAACAGCTATCAGAATGGTGTTGCATTCCAATCGCCGGAGGAAGATTTTTCAAAGAGCAATCCTCTTGCTATGTCAGATATAGCAACTGCTGGTGAGTATGATACTTGCGTATTCTGTATTTCACTGAACAGGAAAGTATTTTTGTGCTGCAGTTGGAAGTTCTTTCTAATAGATTTGTATTTTGATTTATTTCAAATGTTGTCACTTGCATATTAAAGGAATATACATTGTGCACTGCAGTATTTTTCATTGAGCATGGGTAAACATTGCAACTCATGAAAATAGGTTATTGATTATCGGTAATACCATATATTATATTTGTGATTTTTATATGTGCAATGGCTCGTTGCTGATGTATTTCATTCGCAGGGTCTTCAAGGTCTAAAATATCTGCACCTCCTGGATTCGCGGCACCAGCTAGAGTCCCACCTCCTGGATTTTCATCTCAGGACGGGTTGAATCCCCCACCTGGATTTTCTTCAGGATTCTCATCTCAGGATATGTTGAATCACCCTCATGGATATCCTTCGGGATTTCCATCTCAGGCTGGATCTAATCCCCCTCATGGATTTTCATCTCAGGCTGGGTCGAACCCGTCTCGTGGATTTAATTCTGGATTTTCATCCCAGGATGGGTCTAACAATATTCCTCCTGGGTTTTCTTCTGCGTTTTCTGCTGGGTTTTCATCCCAGAATGGGTCTAACCAGGCGTATGGCTCCACATTCTCAGGTTTGTTTACTCCCCCTATATTTTCTGCTTCTCCAAAACCAATAATAATTTCAATTTCTCATACATTTGTGATGCTTGGCAGAAACTCGTCTACTTGATAATCTTTTTGGTAGCCACACCAATCAGTATCAACCTCAGATATCTAGACACACAAGTGACATAGAATTTATTGATCCTGCTATATTGGCTGTGGGCAAAGGGCGGATGCCAGGAGTTAGTGATTCAGGGTTGGATTTGAAAAACACTCCTTTTCCAGCACAATTGCAGACATCGAATAATGATCCAAGACTTCAACTACTTATGCAGCAGAGCATGCCCTCTCATCAAAACCTCAGATATACTGACCATGTTCAAGATGCATTCAACCCTATTCAGAATGATAATTATCTGACATCCCGACTTCTGCCACAGAACCATGGTTCTCTATCCCCTTATGCACAGATGTCACTCCAACAACCTAGAAACTCACAGCTTGCAAATGGTCACTGGGATGGCTGGAGTGATTTGAGACAGGGGAATAATGTTCCCATGTCGGACATGTCAAGGATGTTATATCCAACTGAAGCTAACAACTTTCACATGCTGGGTTCAAATGATATGTATAACAGAACCTTTGGACTTTAATTGTCTTTGAAGGTGAATATTGACCTCTCCGCGTCTATTTTGGGCGTGTCTCTTGTTCTGAAAGTAACTGGTTGCACAGTGCTTGTCTAATGGTTGTGCTTATGAGCTGGTACGTGAAAGTTCTACTGGAAGGCAGTTGATGCAAATGTGCCGACATGATCCTGAGTTTGAACTAGATCTTCCAAGCACAAGGTATGTGTTTACTGCATTTTATCCACCAATTTGATATACTTGTGTGTGTCCCCTTTTTTGTCCTTGTGTAATTATAATTTTGCTTTATGTGGTGTTGTGAACGTTGCTGGATGTGCCGGCACATTAATGATCGCTTGTTGTTCCCTTGCTTGGTCATCAGGTTCCTTTCTAGGCGAAGTCATACATGAACAGGTGGTCCTTGAAGTATATGGATACATATGGTTTGGGTGCGATGGAAGCTGGCTTGAGAAGAGAGATACCGTTTAGCGTGTATGTTCTATTTCGCCATCGTAGCTGTGTAAATGTTTTCTTGCCTTGGGGATTCGAGAGACTCCTCTGTACATGATTTTGTAACTTGCCGCTGGTAGGTCTTTTGTGGTGCATAGAAAGCTCATGTTTTGGTGTGGGGTTTGTTGAATCAAAAACTGAAAGCAAATGTGACAATCATCTATAGCTCAACTGACAATTGTTTGGCATCAAACTGAAGGAAGGTTTTTGACTACATTTGATGTTTGTTACTAGATGTAATGTGTTGTTCTCAAGCAAGCTTTTTGGATCATCTTATTAGTAACAATCGACATGGCTGTGTTAGTTTTGAGATGAACATTCCTCTGACGTCATGAAATTGAATCCAGCAGTTCCATCTTATTTGGCGTGTGATTTTGAGTGCAAACCCGCATCCTGTCTAGTTTTCTATTTGCCCCATCTCCTTGTCCCCCCTATCCTACCAAGGATGACATCCTAACAGTTTGAAACCAATATGAAGCACAAGAACAAGGAAAGCAACAGTTCCAGATCACCAATCTTTCACCATCAAATTCCCAATTTGTAGTGCAAGCTAAAGCTAATGTCATCCACAGCTTTCAAATCATTACCAGGAAAAGTAAAGCCTAACTAACACGTGATCCTTGCCTTCTCCTTGCTTACACGAAGAGCGTCTCTGATGAATCCTGATTCTACCTGAGGCCTGGCCGCATGAGCATTTCATCAAACGACGCGTTCTGCTCCAGATCCACACTGTTGTCGGTGTTGATCGAGACAGAACCCATGGACCTCTTGGACATGAGCTGCTGGACTTGGGGTGCCTCCCGCTGCACCTCGATGGCGATGGCATCCTGGATCTCTTTGAGCACCTCGGAGATGGTTGGCCTCTGCGCGCCCTTTGGCTTCACGCACATGATGCCCACCTCCGCGATCTTCCACACCGACTGCAGGTCGTAGCCGGTATCCAGTGATGCATCAATGATGGCGTCAATGTTCCCACTCTCAATGTGCGACCTAGCCTGCCAATTCCAGTTCATTCATTGGCAGCATTGCTCATCAATATCAGCTTAAACCATGCAGAAAGCTAACAGATTGCAAGATACTTACCCACGCCACAATGTTACGGCAGTTGAGCCCAAAGTTATCACTAGAGATCGGCTCGTGGCCAGAGATTAGCTCAAGTAGGATGACACCAAAACTGTATATGTCACTCTTCTCGGTTAGCTGCTGGGAGATGTAGTACCTACTCGTCGCCATCAAAAAAAGAAAAGGAAAATTATAACTCAGATGCTACCAGGATAGCAAACACTTCAAATCACTAAACCATGGGAAAGTAAACAAACACTATGAGCTCAGGAAAGATGGTCTTACTCTGGATCAAGATACCCAACCGTCCCACGAACTATGCTTGATACATGAGACCCATCGACTGCAGGTTTTGATAGGCCGAAGTCTGCGACTTTTGCCCGCATGTTCTTGTCAAGTAAAATGTTGCTACTCTTAACATCTCTGTGAATTATGGTTGGAGAGCATCCCGTATGGAGGTACTCTATACCTGATATTTGCAATGTTCAAGACAAAAAAAGAGAGATTCAGAATCTTCAGATTGCATACTAGTAGAAGAGTAGGAGGGAAACTGAGGCAGACCTTTCGCAGCATCTTCTGCTATCTCAAGGCGCTTAACCCAGCTAGTTATTTTCACATCATTAGGTCCTCCTGTGAACATCATCAGAATTCAGAGGTTTAATATTTTATATGTTATTCTATTCTGTGGAGTAAAGAGGACATTAATCTAACAGTTCATGTCGGTCCTGCGGACCAAGAGTGAAGAATAGAAATTCAGATACTTAAAAAGACTAAATTTTCTGTGTACTACTGGAATTTCTTAATGGTTCATGGCAACTTTTGGTTTAAGGGCAAAAATCAGCAATGTCAGGCCTGGCGGCCTGTCCACACAGAACAAAAAGCTGATCTATCCTTAAAAAGAAGCTGACCCGAGTACAAGTTTGAGGTCAACCAACTAAACATGTGGTAAAAGGTCCTAAATACAGCTGCCCAGACAAAGTTTTGCCGCTAAAGAAACATTATGTGCATATGCCAACAGTATGCTGTTGATCCCAGCAAACAAATTTAACATCAGCTAAGGGCACTCACCACGAAGGTGCTCTTTTAGTGTTCCGTTGTGCATGAACTCGTACACAAGTATGTTCTTCCCGTCTTGTTGACTGTAACCAAGGAAGGTTACCAAGTTCCTATGATGTATTCTCGAAAGCAACGCCACCTGAAACGATAAGCCAGCTAACTCATCAGGACAACATCTGGAAGAAAAGAAATGCATGAGCATATGGTACATCTTGCATGCAATGGTGCAACCATATCATGACATGGATGTTCAGTAGACCTTTACAGCAGACTACAAGAGGGATGTGTAGACATAGAATGCAATGATATTTCAAAAGGCAAGCGCCAGGCACCGAAATTGCAGAAACATAGAGAAGGATTATATCTGACTGATCTAAGCTAAGACTATAAAGTATAATTGAGGCAAAAACTGTCTCATGCTCGCAGCACATTAACAGGTCATTAGATTAAGAAAAAAACAGCATGGCATATCAGGTTCTTGCTCCACAACAGGGTGTCGATCTACCAAGCCATACTAAAATCAGCAACAAGTAAACATGCTGTGTTTATCTCTTCAACGGTGAAAAAGGTATGTACTGCCATAGAGCTACACTTGGAGTAGAAACATAAACAAGGCTAAAACAGAAGCAGACCTCATTCAAGAATTCTCGGATGCCCTGATAGGAGTCATTTGTGAGAAGCTTGACTGCGATCTCTCTCCCATCTGCCAGCTTTCCATAGTATACTATGCCAAACCCTCCAGAGCCGATCCTCCTCTCAAATTTATCAGTAGCATCTTCAATTTCTGATAAAGCAAATCTGTGCGCTGTTTCTGTAGCTACTTCACTGAAATACGACCCTAGCTTTTTTGCTGGTGCTGCAAGAACAACAGTTTCTACAAAATGGCAAAAATTAATCAGTGCATGTTCTTACACAGTACCAGAAACATGCACTGAGCCAAAGAACACATACCACGTGAAGGTTTTTTCTTTCTCTTGTGTGTACACAAACAGCATCCAATAGCCACCGCAAGTAACAAGATGGCCCCAACCACAGCACATACGATGATTATGATGGTGCCGTGGCTAATACTATCACTTGGCCCCTGAAGATTATTGCCTGACGAGCTGCAGCAGGTAAGAATTAGAACAGAAGGAACATCCTAAAGAACACTATCATTGTGGCTAATACTATCGCTTGGCCCCCGAAGGACCATTGTTGCTCTCTACGTATGTTACCACTATATGTCACCAAAGTTAAGTGAAGCTTGTCCAGCCACAGTAGTGTTCTCAAGCACATTATTCCACATTAATTAATCTAAAATATGCTAGCTACATCTGCCTAAAGAGAAAGTACTGACTTGAAAATAATGCTCTTCTTGGAAAGTGCCCTTGGAATATGTCCGGAAAGCCTATTGTTCTGAATATACCTGCAATAGTTGAGAATAAGTAAATGCAGAAGTTCTATTTCTGTAAAGACTCTTGATCAAATGCATTTATTCCAGAAAGATAAAATTAATAGTATCGACAAAAAATTATGAGCAGAGAACATCAGGAAACAAAGAGAGGAATGACAGTCTGGACCACTGTATCAACTTCCATTCTCCATAGAAAGGGGTGCATAAACAAAGTGCACAAAATTATGAAGAACTTACAGCTCTTTGAGGTTAGGTAGATCTCCCAAAGAGGATGGCAACGCACCGTTTAACTGATTGTTTTCAAGGTGACTGCATATATATAAAACCACGTTGGATTAGTTCAATAAATCCTGCAGAATGCTGCTCTATGACAAGAACTGCAAACTCACATATACTGCAGATTTCTGCATCCACTAAAATCAGGGATTCCACCAGAAAATGAGTTACCATCGAGTCTTCTGCATTTACAGAAATAAGTAGATCAGACAAGAGAAAGCAAAAAAAAAAAGGATGGAAAGAATGAACCATCTGAGCTTACAACTCGACCAATGCCGATAACTTTGTCAACTCCTCAGGGATACTTCCTGTGATGTTCTTCTCTGACAATGTGCTGTGAGGGACAATTCTTAGGTTTTAATACAAGGAATAAATCAACAAATCCAAAGTGAAGGCAGAATTGCACAATTAAATTTACCATACATTGAAAGAACTCTGGGTGCTGCTTCTGAACTGCATTGCACCCAGGTCCATGACACTGGTAAGCATGGATCACCACCCTCTTGTGCCCAACCTGCTTGAGGATACCGTGAGGCCAAGCTAGACATGGTGTTTGCTGTCAATATTATGCAACACTAAATTAGTCATAAAGTTTTTTTTCACATCAGAGAGAGACTACACAGTTAGCTTGATCTGAAAAACATATGATAACAATGTGGTCAACTGCTTACCATCTGGAGATCCCATGGTAATCTGGACATGTTTGTAAATTTCCATAGCATTCAAAATA